AGGGAAAGATGAACTACATCGATTTTTCTCTCCTAATATAAAGAGACAGGATTTATAAGTGAGGGAAATAGATTACTAATATGATGGTATCTTAAAATATCTTTCAAATTCTTTAATCTTCTATAGCTTTTCTTAATGTCTAATTAAATGGAATGTCATTCATTCCCTTCCTACCCCACAGGATTATTTGAATATGAGGTTATATCTACATTTACATGGGAAAATGTTTCCACCAGTTAGAAGAATTATCATTTACTAAAGACCACAGGATCCACAATTAAAGCAGTTTAATCTGTTGCTTGAGTTGCCTTGGTCACCGCCATATTTTTTGTTGAAAGGAAAAATGAGTCAGAGTGATGTTCCAGACAGTGTGCTTAGATAGTGGTTTAAGAAGATTTTCATTTGCCTGATATTCAAAAATTTTCACTCTGAGTACTGGATCTTGAGTGACTATGATGTCAGCAGTCTTCTGGAGTTCCCTCACTAAGATGTGAGATCCATGGAGACTGAGACTTTGTTTTGTTCACTGCCGTTTTCTCAGGGCCCTGGGGGGGTAGTAGACACTTGATAAATATTCATTGAATGAAGGAACAAAATGAGTCCTAGGGTTACCAAATGCGAGTAAGACCTGTTCTCTGCAGCCCAATTTGGAAGAGTAAGCATGGGTAATTTAAATATGATGCGGCAGGTACAGTGATAGAGAAAGCAGAGGAACGGCTGTCTTAACTCAACCTGGCCAACACAGAAGCACGCAAAAGCATGCTTGTTTAAGGACCTTCATGTAGCTTAGTACTACTAGAATATACCATGAAAGAAGATGTCACTGAGAGAATTTTACGCTATGCCAAGGAGCTAGGACTTGAATAAATGAATGATGAGGCAGCACTTAGTAGAGAAGTCACAGTCATAGTCAGCCTCCCATTATAGATAGATTATTGGGTTGTTCTCTGAGGATAGACTGGAGAGGAGAAACACTTGAGGCAGAGGGACCAGTGGGAGGTATTTTAGTAGTTAAACAAAGAGATAAGTTCTTGAACTAGGTAAAGGCCAGAACTAGCATGGAAAGAACATACTCAAGAATATTTAGGAGGTAAAACTGAAAGAATTTGGTGATTAATTCATTGTGGAAGATGACAACATAGGACTGGGGATGGAGGAATAAGAAAGATTCCAAAAATATGACTTTGGGTGGATGGAGGTCCTACCTCAAAAAAGTTAGGTAATGTAAGAAAAGTAACAGGTTCTGAGGGAAAGGTGATTTCAGTTTTATCAGACTGAATTGGAGTGTGTGGAATATTTAGGCCAAAGGCTAGGGAGAGAGATACTGAAGGGAGATTCAGATATGGGAGTCGTTAGCAGGGAGATTTAACTA